CTATTAATAAAGCATTAAAAGGAAAAACACCCAAATGAAATTGCAAGCAGGCAGAGCAGTACTGAAACACAATAATGATCATTGCAATGTCGGTCCTTGGGTATTTTTTTGGAAGGACGCCTGTTTGTCAAAGGCCTAATTTGTCACAGACCCAGTTTGTCACAGGCCTAATTTGTCACAGACCCAGTTTGTCACAGGCCTAATTTGTCACAGACCCAGTTTGTCACAGGCCTAGTTTGTCACAGACCCAGTTTGTCAAAGGCCTAGTTTGTCACAGACCAAGTTTGTCACTGGCCTAATTTGTCACAGACCCAGTTTGTCACTGGCCTAATTTGTCGCAGACCCAGTTTGTCACTGGCCTAATTTGTCACAGACCCAGTTTGTCACTGGCCTAATTTGTCACAGACCCAGTTTGTCAAAGGCCTAGTTTGTCACAGACCCAGTTTGTCACTGGCCTCGATTGCGCCCTGTTTGATGGAAGTTATCACTGACACTCTCAAAAAGAGTAAATGAATGATTGATTGATCGTATGAATTAAATTTTCTTTTTCAATTGTTTTTAACGAAAGAATTTTCATTGTTGAAATTTTACAGAGTTATTTGCTTTGATTTGCATCCAAAAAGTAAGAAATATTGAACAATACCAGCTGAATTGACATTTTAGAGAGACTATCTCTACACCAGCAATTTGGAGGTAGAGAATAAAACTACTTAAGTTACAACTACAGTGTTAAAGTGCTGTAATTATGACGGTCATCAATACTCAAATACTTAAAGGAAATTGTGACAAACTGGGCCTGTGACAAAATAAGCAGCCCCAGTTGTATTTCATTACACAAGGCTCGCTGTAATCAAGAGCGGGCACAACTTTTCCTTTTTCGCACGTCATTTGTTTCCAAAAGGCGTAGATCTAAATCGGTGCGCACAGCATGATTGTCATTCAACCTGAATGACGTCACGAATACCCAGACGTTGATATTATTATTATTATTATTATTATTATATCACAAATCTGTGCGTAAGACACACATTATTTCATCCTCCATGTCATATTCACAAGATCGGTAGATCTATGTCCAAAACCAGACAAAACAAAAGTGATTAGTAAAAACAATGTTATCCTGTAAGAACGAAGCCATTTAAGTGTGTGCTGATATGACAACTATAGCGTGGGAGGTGTGTCTTCAGACGCCGTCTCTCCGCCCACACACAGAGAGATACAGAGAGAGAGAGAGAGAGAGAGAGGGGGACAGACAGACAGAAAAACAGAGAAACAGAGAGGGAGAGAGAGAGAGAGAGAGAGAGAGAGAGAGAGAGAGAGAGCGAGAGAGAGAGAGAGAGACAAAGACAGAGAGACAGAGAGACAGAAAGAGAGAGAGATGGATGGAGAGAGACAGAGAGAGATAGAGAAAGACAGAAAGAAAGAACGAGAGAGAAAGATCGAGAGAGAGACGGA